GTGTTGTATTCCGAAATGTAACTTATATATTAAACTGTATAATTTGCGGTTGTCATATTCATTTGTACATCTTGTGGTGCCTGCTATTGACGTTCGCAATAACATAGTCGTGAAAATACCCTTGAAATATATAGAGAGACTATATTATATTTCTATGGAAAATACTATCTCTCCCTCTAGCACCCATCTTTTCTCCTCCGACCCACTATTCTCTCTCTCTCTCTCTCTCTCTAGCTGAGATTAACGAACGCGCATGAAAAGGGATGAAAGCATTATGAATATAATATTAAATTATGTTAAAATGAAGATGATAAAAAAGGGAATTTTAATGGAAATTAATCATGACGTAAAATTAAGACAAGTAAAAACAAAAGGAAAATGAAAAGAAGAACAATAAAATGTACTACTCATGAAAACAATATACTAGTTAGGCTGTCTATAGATAATGCCTTTGGTTCCCATATGCTTAGCCAGTTATCTGTGCACCATGTCGATACATTTTCATAATAACGGTCAACTGTCTGTCTGCTACGCTGATCTCCAACATGGTGGACGTAGTTTTAATGTAACATAGGCCTAACGGGTAGCCCAGTATTATGCATTTCAAGCCAATAGTTTGTTATATCGCAATTTGGTATTTAGTTAGATATCATCTATTTGTTAATTGCTAATTAGGTCGAATTGTTGATTGTGGCAATAGATAATGATACTCAGGGCTGCCAACATTGGGTGATAGGTGAGAGTGAGATGCCAGGAGCGAAGCGACCGAGCGGGGTGTGGGTGTGGGAAAATGCACCAATTTGTGCAATTTGGTGCTTACTAATTAAGTGACTGTTTTCAGATATTGTAAGATTTTTTTGGCTGTGCGTGAGATATTTTAGCGTTTTATTCATGAAGAGATATTCATGCGTGAGATATCTCAGCATTTTTTTGCTGTGCGTGAGATATTGTAAGATCAGCGTGAGAGCGTGAGATTTGGTCAAAATGCGTGAGTCTCGCGGTCAATGCGTGAGAGTTGGCAGCCCTGTGATACTAAATTTTTATTTTTGTGATAATGATTAATATGCATATGCCATATGGTGATATCAGGAGCATCATCGTGTAATACACGAATAGAGCAAGAAAATTATATTATTTGCCGCCTATTATGCACATGTTAAAAAGATGCAATATAACGCGGGAGCTGTTGAGCAGTAGATATCACGGTGAATCTATGTGGCTAATATATGTATATATATGCAAAATAACACAATACTCATATATAGATACTGGCTTCCGCGTGAGTTCATGCGTTGTAATTAAAAGTAGTGCACTCACGTTATAATAATTTTTGCAACCTGAAATAAAAGCCAACGTCCAATAAACGTTGTAAAACTAATTACAGAGCAAAAATAAACGGCGAATAAAAAGCCTTTATATCGATGTACTTTATCCGTATGACATACAGTGATTTCCGTGGGATTATATTCCGTAGCGCATCCACAAGACGGATATGTAATCTTAACGCAAGATGGCAGCCGCCACTACATTTTTTACAGTTTTCAGTGGCATAAGTGTAATTACAAGCGTTTAATGCTGCCCGTGTTTGTGATTTATGTAGAACTGAACATTTTACTAAGTGTATTGCATTTACTTGCACAGAGTTGGTTTCTTAAGAGGGCAAGACTAATCTGATAGGTATGATATTGGTAGGATGTGGCCGAATTGTTAAATCAATGGTACTCACCGTAGGATGTCATCTGCTAGCAGCTATGTGTTGATAATGATAGTGTTGTGACTATCAGGACAGTAGGCCAATAATAAATGGCAATATGTTTTTGTGTTGACTAGAGATAAAATGAGAACGCGTATCAGTCAAAACACGCCAACTTAATTACTTTTTACGTCGAGAATACCGAAGACGAGGTGTTTATAGTCAGAATGTTGATTGCAAACAATACTCCGAATTTGATAGATGATTAGTCCGCAAATGCAGACGTTATAACTCCGCTTTGCTAATCTGAGGGTGCGGGTTTATCCATTACTGCGCCATTACTGGGGTCTGCGTCGTCTCGGACTAATAGATGATAATCCCTACGGATCCGCTCTATACTTGCGTGTTTTTAGCTGTACTGTATAGCCTGGGAATAATTAAACAGGTCTATATCATAGTATATGCCTGTATACATGGATTAAGAAGTGGATCAAGTGCAATCAAACATTCGTGTGTAAATTAAGCTATGTCCCCATCATACTATTGCTCATAGTCATAGGGTCTATGTCCCCCAGGGTACTGTCAGAACGTACCCTGGTAACTATTTGATATGGTTAGGGTTAAGGTTAGGGTTAGGGAGTAGGTGTAGGCGACTCCCTAGCCTCGTTAGTGGAGTAGGCGAGGTACGGTCTGGCATATTAGATAGTACCAGGGTATGTTCTGGCAGTATCCTGGGGGACATAGACCCTCTCAGCCATACTATTAGTGGTACAACTAGCTATTATGTATAGTCATGTAGTTCTACGGTAGCATTCTCAGAATACAATTAGAAAGCTAGTTGTGTTTCACCCTTAAAGAGCTATTTCTCATTGAAGTTGTCGGTACGCAGACATTTGTCAAAAGAATTGCTAGGCGTAGTTCTCTCTTTACAATTATGTTGCAGTGCAGTATATTATATAGACCATATCAAGAGCGTATAAAGAAGGAGAGCGTACAACTGTGAAATGCTGAAACCATGTTGCAGTATTAGTCGAATTAATAAACTTTCCCCATTTTATTTTGACGATTCTTGGCAGTATTATTGATCAGCTGTCCTACCTTGTTCATATAAAACAAACTGCATGTCCCTACGATGCCCCTACGCTGAGATAATGAGCGGTGAAAATCTGGTATTTTTGCCGAACACCGACTCGACATTAGTCAGTACTGCGACCAACTCGCGTTCTGGTGATAGCTTCGGGAAACCTCGCGTGTTTCTGTCATTCATTGACAGTGCAATTTATCTTCCTTCTACTATCTTTTCTCGAATTTCCAGTCATTGACGCAGCTATTACTCCACAAAAAAGTCTCGTTATTTATCGTCATGGTGGTGACCCGCCCCTTACGCTGGATGTAGTAACGCTGTAGTAATAACGTATCGAGTCAGCGCTACACAGCGGCGACCGGAAGCAACATACAGTGCACAGAACGCGAGTCGGTCGCAGAATCTTCAAAATAAAACGGGGAAAGTTTGTTAATTCGACTAATACTGCAACATGGTTTCAGCATTTCACCGTTGTACGCTCTCCTTCTTTATACGCTCTTGACCATATCACTATCAGTAGTAAATATATTAAAAAATGAATGTAATAGTAAAAATCAGTTTCTATTCTAATAATAGCTAGCGCATACCATGCAAAACATAATAACATGCAACTTTGTACCCTAGTAAGAGTTAAACTTCCAGATTAAGAGCTGCCATGACATTTAAAGAAGATGGCAACAGTGTCAAGCACCACTTTTCATTTCATATCTGTGGTGACCTGCAATTACCCAAGAGGCATTTTGATTCGGATCAATGGTATAGTTATGTTACAGAAGTGCATTTTTGTCCCATTTATTTCACTATGTATGTGTACATTACTAAATTTTTATTTTCAGACAGCTATTGTATTAGCGCCATACCACTATAGACGTTAGACTATAACATTGTCACACTGCATTGAAAACAGGACAGAATCTGGCCATTTAAATCGTGGGAAGGCAAGAGTACTTTGAACAAATTGAGGGAATGGCACTTATAAATCCACAGGTAAGATAATTTTTATTTTATTATTTCATAATAGATTAGTAGAAACCTGTATATGTAATCAATATAAAACTAGATATTAGTGAAGTTGCTATGTACCTATTGAGTAAATAGGCAATCTCTCTGTGTGTTGGTGCAGGTGTGTCTGAATATGTAATATGAATTCAGACATTTTTCTTTTCTACATTTCCGGCAAAAATATAATTTATTGATTTTATGTCAATATACACACTGTAATTAAAATAACATAAATTCAAGATTTAAGATTCAAAGAAATTTATTTGTGCATAAGAGTCACATAAGTACAAGTTATATACAATCACACATTGATTATAAATCCCTGAACAAAAAAACAACAAATACAATCGTTGCTAAATGGAGCACGGGGACGGCAAAAAACCCGCAGGTCATAAAAGTCAGCCGCCCCTATAGAATTAGTTATTATGCAGACGACTGAATATTAAAAAAAAATATTGATAGACAAGGAGATGGTATAGGTAGAATACATAGGTAAGGCCAAAACAAAATATAGATGTGGTTACGGTTTCCCGACCAACCCTATTTATTCCCAGCGACCCTAAACATTTTATTGTCAATTTTCTTTAGTCAAAAAATAAAAATAATTAAAAAAAAAATATTTAAAAAAAATGAATTCGACAGTTCCTGCTTCAAAAGGCACAACGCACATCCTTCGGACATGGTTCGTAAATAAAATATTTCAAGAAAATAAAATGTTTTCCCTACCTACCTACCCTATTTTTTCCGGCATGTAAAGGTAACCACACACATATTTTGTTTTGGCCT